GCTCTACCACTGAGCTACCTTCCCAGCCCCAGGGAAAATAGTTTTAAATAGCATTGGGATTTAATTTATTAAGATAGGTCTAATAGACCTTGAAATCCAAACAAATGCTAGTAACTAAAATGGCATCTAGTATTCTGGAATTATATACTTTGACACATCCAGAAGTATATGAATACTTAGGTATATATAATCCAAAAATCTTAGTTAAAGCTAAAATCCTGCCAGCTGTCCTAATTTAAAATGCTGAATTAAATTAGTTAATACAGAACATAGGAAAAAAAGAAAGCTGAATTGCAACTGATGTTATGGATAGTCATACAGCCTTGATAGGTAAACCAGAGAAGAATGAATAAAGGTACTTAAAGCTGAGTGTAATGGCATATGACTGTTATCTCAGCTCTGAAAGTTTATGCAAGAGGACGTTAAAAAGCCAGCTGTGCTACAAAGTGAAACCCTGTCTTAAAAACAAAACAGGCTCATGCCTGTAATCCTAGCAACTCAGGAGGCTGAGATCTGAGGTTCTCGGTTCAAAGCCAGCCCGGGCAGGAAAGTCCGTGAGATTCTCATCGCCAATAAACCACTAAAAAACCAGAAGTGGCGCTGTGGCTCAGTGGTAGAGTGCTTGCCTAGCATGCATGAAGCCCTGAGTTTGACTCCTCAGTACAACATAAATAGAAAAAGCTGGAAGTAGCACTGTGCCTCAAGTGGTAGAGTGTTAGCCTTGAGCAAAAAGCAGCTCAGGAACAGTGCCTAGTACTGAGTTCAAGTCCTAGGACTGGCAAAAAAGAAAAAAACACACACAAAAAATCCAAAACCAAAAATCCCCTCAGTATACTGAAAAACAAATCTAAAAATACCCAAATGTAAAATAATGAGGAAAAAATAATCTTAAACTCAAATTTGATGAAAACATTAGAAATAATTTGCTTTGACCTTAAAGAATAGGCCCAAATATTAGGAGCGATGGGTAACAATGTTGTCAAGACACCTTGTATTCATATACTGCTTTGTAGAATGGGAACTTCTTTGTACAACTACTTAAGAGATAATAATTTTTTTTAAATGTTAAAAAAAACCCACAAAAAATAGAAGAAAAAAAAAGGGGGCACAAATAACAGATTTCTTCAATGAAATGGCTCCATTCAGTTAGTTGACTTACTTTGAAATATAGCTTTAAATATCTGATACTCATCAACAGGGTTGTCTTCATCATCAATGATTGTAGAGTAGCCTTCCAGAGCTGTCTCCTCAGCATCGTCTTCTTCCCAGTCTTCATCATCCCCATCTTCACCTGCTTGCTTGGCCAGAATCTCCAAATATTCCTGCCCATCTTCATCAATGTCATCTTCATCACTCCCAAGTTCCTCTGCAAAGTCATAAGATTGATACTGAAATATTTTGTTACTAACCAAAGTGACAGCTACATAACACTTGCAGTAAAAACTACAAATCATAAAATTCAAGTTCCAAGAATTTGTATTTAAATACATATCTCACAATAAACAGACACACCACAACCCTGGGCTACACCTACTAATGCAAGAGGATTTTTTTGGGGGGGGCCAGTCCTGGGCCTTAACTCTGGGCCTGGGCACTGTCCCTCAGCTCTTCAGCTCAAGGCTAGCGTTCTACCACTTAGCCTCAGTGCCACTTCCGGCTTTTTTTTTCTGCTTATGTGGTATTGAGGAATTGAACCCAGGGCCTCAGGCATGCAAGGCAAGCGCTCTACTACTGCGCCACCTTCCCAGCCCAGAAGGTTTTATGTAGGATTGAATATCTTGAAATATTTTACTTGCCCTTGAGTTCTCCTGGTTGAGAACTGGTACAAACTAAATACTGATAACAAAATATAAATCCATATAATTTCTAATTTGAGAATTACATTATAAAGCCTATATTAGACTCAAATTCTCTTTTTGCTTTAGCCTACGATTACAGGTATAAGCAACCACCTCCATATTTTTGTTTTTCAAAAACCACTGTCAAGAGGCAGAAAGGCTCTGTTATCCCAATCTGAGACATAACAAGGAGTACAAAAATAGAGATTATAAAAATATTGAATCATCACTGTACCTGGCTTTTATTTACTTTTGTTTTCCAGTGCCAAACATATGTAGAGTCAAGTGTGTGTGTGTGTGTGTGTGTGTGTGTGTGTGTGCGTGCATGCGCTCGCGCGTATGTGCTGGCTGTGGGGCTTGAACTCTGGGCCTAGTGCTGTCCCTCAGCTCTTCAGCTCAAGGCAAGCCCTCTGTCACACAGTGCCACTTCTGGTTTTCAGGTGGTTAATTGCAGATAAATCTCAGGACTTTCCTGACTGGGCTGGCTTTGAACCCTGATCATCAGATCTCTCCTCAGATCTTGAGTAGCCAGGATTACAGGTATGAGCAACTAGTGCTTTTGCAGTTAGTGAGAAGACAAATCTTTCTATGAATTAACCAATTTTACAGAACTTGGCTATATCATAGATTTGTTGGGACAAAGGCCAGCAAACATGTTCAGCCAATGGTATTTATAACAAGGTATGTTTTATATTTTTGCATCACAAATGCCTTACCAGTTTCATCATCATCTTCAGCTTCATCATCATCATCGCTGTCATTTTCATGTTCTGCATGACAGGCATATGCTCTTTTTAATCCATTAAATAAAAGGATAAAAGCTGGCAAGATCTGTCCTGACACTTGATTTAAAACTTGTGGTATTTGTTCCATATCAATAAGAGCACACAGACCCAGTACACACATCTTTCTATCATGAAGCCTAAAAAGAGATAAAATAAATTTTTTTCTTTATTTAATTAAAATGATAAGAACTCCTCATAAAGTTCCAATTTATTTCACTTACCCTAAGAAACAGTCAACATCATTAAGCCACTGTGTAATAAAATGATTTGTAACCGGTTCAACATTATTAGGGAAGCGCAGATTTTCTAAGGTATTGAGTAGTAGGTGTGGATTGTAATACAAAGCTGCAATTGCAACTTGCAGGCACATTGTTCGAAGTTCACTTGTCTTGACCTCTCTTGTCAGTCTCTCTAATGCTGCCTCCACAAATAAGGGAATGCACTGTAATGAAAGAATCCAAGATATTTCAAAACTTTAAGTAATAGTATCTAATCTGCCCATATTAACTTATTACATAACTAACCTTTTGCCCCATTACATGACCCAAATTTAATTTAAAGGCATTGCACTAGAAAATCTAATCTTGGAGAAATGAAGTCTTCACTCAGCTATTAGAGCCTGACCATTTATCAGTTATGGATTCACAAGGTTCCTATTTAAACTGACCATAAAAATTTAACCTATTGGAAGTCTTCAAGCTACCTTGAATGATAACAAAGCACATATAAAACTGTCACATTTCTCTACATATTAAATACATGACCATTATTAATTCTTGTTAAATTTTAAATGGGCATAATATTGTACAAAATACATACTAAAATGTTCCCTCTCTGATGAAAGAGTGGAAAGATTAGCTCTCTTAAGCCTCAAGTATGAAGTTAGCCTTACTGACCTGATCAATGCCACGCCCTTTGCACTGTAGAATGATGACCTCTAACAATTTTGCAGCATGACACTCTGCATCTTCTCCTGCAACTCCTGTAAGAACCTAAAAACCACAGAAATTAAAATGCAACAAGGCTCCAAGATATTTAAACCAGAGAAATAATATATTTTCCAATTATATGGGTCAGGTAATGAATACATTTCCTGAGACTCTTATCTCCAATAAACCATTCACAAAACCAGAAGTGGCACTGTGGCTCAACAAGTGGTAAACCACTAGCTTTGAGCTGAAGAGCTGAGAGACAGCACCCAGGCCCAGAGTTCAAGCCCCACTGACCCCCCCCCCAAATTCTATTAGTTAAAAAAAAATCAAGTAGCATATACCATATAACTGTCTGTTGATTTCTCAGGAAATGGCAGCATACTATGATGTAAAAATCTCAGATTTTAGCTAGGCACTTGTAGCTTTTACATGTAATCCTAGATACTCAGGGGGACGAGATCTGAGGATCACCATTTAAAACCAGCCCAGGCAGAAGAGTCGAGTAAGATTCTCTCTCTTTTTTTTTTTTGGTCTGGTCATGGGTCCTGAACTCTGGGCCTGGGGGCTGTCCCTCAGCTCTTCAGCTCAAGGCTAGTACCACTTGAGCCACAGTGCCAGTTCCGGCTTTTTCTTTTTGCTTATGTGGTGCTGAGGAATCGAACCCAGGGCCTCAGGCATGCAAGGCAAGCGCTCTACCACTGAGCCACCTTCCCA